GAGTAGACATATTCAAATAATTATTAGGTATCTTAAAAAAACGAAATTATTTCATAGGATATGAGTAGAGCAAGTTGGGTGTGAATGTGTAAAGAATATCAAAGTTGGGTAATATAAGCAGGTGTGTATGTGTGAGGGTATGTTTAATCAGGAGTTAGTGGAGGGAAAAGGTAGAAAGTGAAAGTATATAGACCATCTCGAACCACACTCCATACCGGTAAGTGGCGGTAATGCTACTGTAAGTTTGTTGCCAACCGCCAATAAAAACCAAGAAGAAGAAGAAGAAGAATCAGGTGTGTTGGAGCAGAGAAACAAGTAAAACATGCAGGGCTGCGGCCCTCGAGGACCAGGATTGCCCATGCCTGTACTAGAGCATAAACTTCTCTTATCGGTGGTATTGATATTTCAGTATTGAGCCACACATCACTACAGTGGAGTTAGGAAATCAAGACAAAGCTTTGGTAGCTTGTCAACCAAACTGGAAATCATCATGAAAATAATGTGTCTTATGTCTGCACGCCTGAAGGAACACTGCTCCTGCTTAAAATAATTCTGGTAAAAGTCAAAGGTCATGCTTCATACAGCTGTATAATTAATGTAGTCACAGTGATTCTGAGTCTAATGCATTCAGTGACTGACCACTGAAAGAAACTGACAGATGATATAGATGCTGTATCCTTCAGTAAATTGATATTTTTTTCAAAGTGCTTTCAATCAATATTTAACTGATCCCTTTGTGCTAAAGCTGCGACCTTAATTTCATACCCGGTGTCAGCATCTCTCTCCCAGGAACATTTAAGGTTAAGAACACTGATCGAAAAATAATCAGCGACAGCACAGACTCACCGAAAATAACCCAAGATGACAACGGCCACCATGAGCGAGCCCAGGGAGATGGAGTACCCGACTGTGTAGATGAGATACAAACGGTGAAAGACCTCCTGTTGAAGAGGGATTGTTTGTTAGAATGTCAACGGGACGAAAACACACAGAGAAACACAGAGATTTCATCCTATAATGAACTGTAATATGCTATATTTGTATTTTTTTAATAGAGAGAAAAAAACATTTTGCACATTCATACTTTTTTAGCCTCATTTCCATCAATAATAATCATTTTATAAAATACATGTTGTATGAATACTTATTTAATTTTATGTCAAATGTGTGACAAAATAGTTTAAATCCTGGGCGTAAAACAACCAGATAAATATAAAAACATCTAGTTTTACATGCTTAGGTTCAATAAAAGTGCTTTTAGTTCAACTAAACCTGGAAAATTCAACTTTTTTATGTTCTTTTCAAAAAATGTTTGTAGATAAAAACAAGTAAACAGGTTTTAAACCTTTAAAAATTCACTTTAAGATTTTAGCTACTTGGTGAAGGAGATTTTAGTTAAGGCRTTTGAACATTTTGAAAGTGAAAGAGGCTGGGAGGGGCAGTTTGATCGTCCAGCAGCAGGCTGGCAATGAGAGGACACACCGTTTACTGAGCCACAACCTTCTCTGTGTCAACACGCTAAGGAGCCAAAGAGCCCCTTGTCATGTAACAAGATACAGCACTGCTGTTATTATTCAGCATTGGGATCTCGTGCCAGGAAAACATGTGACTCAGTTGTGGTGGCAGTTTCTACAGCAGACTTTTTTTTTTCTTTTTTGCTGTGCTTGCTTTAGTCTGTGCTTATTTATTTATCATTAACTATTGGAAGTGCTCCCTTGGGAAAARCATCAGCATAAACATCTAAATTCATTATGAGTAAAACTGTATTTTATTGCTTCGTGGCAAAAAAGTAGTTAGGGAATGATAAAGYTGTAGCGCTTTCTGATTTTGGGAATCTCACAGCAGTGATCAAGCAATGGCAGAAGCAACACAAATGTTGAAAAAAGGTGCAACATGRAAGTTAAAAATGATCCAGGATATAATAAAAAATCACTCAAATGGTGCAGAAGATGATGGAAAAAAATGTTAAACAAGCACAGACAAAAAGGAACAAAAKGATGCAATTGGGAGTTTAAGCATGAGGAGTTAAATCATTTTCTTTTAAATTCTGTGGAAACTGGCTGGGAGTTTCTTAACGACAGAGGTAGTTACCAGCAACAGGAGCGGCTCAAATAAATTCAATGGTAATTTGAAAATAATGATGTGGCTAAAAGAGGCTAGCAAAACACAGGAAGCGAAACATAACAATTACTGTGGTAAAACTTGGAGCAGATTTCTGTTTATGACATGCTTCTATAATATATATAATTTCCTTCAATTTATTCTGTAGACAATGACAAGAATGAACATTTAATAAAAACGTGACTCCAACATCAGACGTTTATGGATGCCTTTGGAGGACAAAAATTTATGAAAAAAGAAGGAAAACCCTTAGGCTTTAATGTGATGGCATAAAAGAAAGCAAATCTCTGAAGTTTTCTAAAAAAAAATACATTTCTAATTTGTACATGCTGGTTTTATTTATTTATTTATTTTTTTGTGGGGGGAAAAAACGACCAGAAATTAGGAGTTTAGCCCTGATTCATGCATTTTTGTAGTTGCCCCATTACAGCTGATGTGGGTTTGCAATTGAGCTGAAATTTAACTAATTATAAACACATTATTACTAAGTAACCATGTTGCCACAATGTCATTATCCTTCCATGTTATTAAAAAATTATAAAAGTTTTTTTATTATCATTCACATTGCTAATTAATTAGAGGGCATGTTGCAAATGTGTTACTCATTTCAAAAGAATTGTAATTACAGGCTGCAATAGTGCATATTAAACTGCTGTAATAGCTTAAGTATGACAGTTTTGTCTGGTGAGGCATTCGGTCCTAATAAGGAGGATGCTGCCGTGTCCATGAGCATGCAAATAGCAAGGAGAAAGATCTCACCTTTTCATGGCTATAGTTGTAATGGTAAAGGAATTTTGCACACTCATTATAATTGGCCCACGTCTTGTTGACTGAGGCCAGCTCCCACGTTCCATTGTTGTCACATCGGCGGTATGCCAGTCCTGGATACCGCAGAAGAAATCAAAGCATTGAGTTCTAATTACAGAGCTGAAGCTGAATAATTAACCCGTTGCAYAAGAAAACATATAAATAGATCCACGTGTAGAAAATGCAGTTTCACAACGAAGGTGAAAATTAGCTCTCCGAAGGAGTTCTGACTATGATTGTGTATATATGTAAAAGGAAAAGAACATTATCACAGCATTGCTCTGTCCAGAGATGAAACATTCAGGGTTTTACCTTTATGGTTAAAGTCGTAGATGTACTCTGGACAGGATGTGGACACAAGGCTTCCAGGAGGTCCTTGAGGCCAGCAAACAATGCCGTCCCACTCCGGTGTGCAGAAACCATCTGCAGAGACAAGAAACAACGTTGACTTTTAAAAACAAGGCCACAAAAAGCTGTTCAAACATGACTTCAACATTTCATCTCAAAAGAACCTCCACAGAGGGGGAAAAAAAACTGCTGTAGTGTATTTTTTAAAGGTTCTGTTGTCCTTTTAGAAAAGCGGGACAGATGCACAACTTGGGTGTTTATGTAAATCAGCACTTTGAAGCAGCTCTGTAATTTGTGGTAAGACTCGCAATAAATTAGATATTTTTTTTCTTTGGTTAGAGGAAAACACGAGTCATCGGAAGAAAACATGCATACATCACTTCCTATCTATTGCAACACAGTCAAAATTTGGAATAATGAAATTCAGAGTATGCAGGCTGCAAACTGTCAACTGAATCATTGTGTTTATTAGGGCTTGATTGTTAGCTGCTTCAAGTTTCCATAATTGCTCTATTGCTAATGGTATCATGCAGGWTTTATCGTGAATGGATCTCATTTATAAGTTCCTCTACACTGACAGTATTATATAGTGCTCTATGCAAGCTAATTCAGATAAATCCAATAATTTGAAGAAATGTATTAGTCATTTACTGATTGCAAAAGCACTACACCATTTTCTAGTTTTCCTTTTTAAGTATTGATTTTCATAAACTGTGTAATTATTGTTATGTCTTGATTAAAATAGTTTTAGTTACATGCCTAAAACACCATGTCAACACATAGAAAAACCGTTAATGAACCATAAGGAAAGTGATTTCTGTTTGCGTGTCTTTGACTCAGCCGTAGGTTTTACGGGACATGCCAGACATTGAAGAACCAYGTTAAAATGAGCTGCACTTCTGTGTTTCCAGCAGCGCTGGTTGTTGCTTCAGCCGTGAGCTATAAGCCATCGTTCAGAACCYAGTACTGGAGTTTGTATTGTCCATTTTCTTCACGTTTTAATCTATTCAACATTATTGTGGTTTTAGTTTCTTTTAGTTTCTTTCTTTTAATCATTATGATAATTGTTAATGATGTTGTGCTGTATGTTGTTATTTTTATGGGGATATCAAACTGTTTATGTAAACAAAATTTCCATTTTTGTGTGGACAATAAAGTTTTATCTTATTTTATCTTCTCTGGTTTATACCTGGGTAAGACACGATTTCAGAAAACGAACACTAAAATTTTCTTACAAACGTTACATAGAAAAAAATACTATGGGAAAGTGTCTCATCTCATCTCATCTCAATTTTTTTCTTTGTTTGTAGATAGAATTTTCAGCTAGATTGTAAGCTCAATAATCTCAGCACTCCAATAATGGAAGTAAAATTCCTTTCCCCACAAARTTCTGGCAAACAACCTCTTCATGGCTTGGCTTTTATGTTGCATTATTGAAAACATCTGCCCCGCTTTAACCACTAATAAGTAGCTGTATATAAAACAGAAATGATCCTCTCTATGCAGCCGATCCATTATTTTGCCAAAGGAAAAAATAAAAAAAAGGCATGTAACGCTACATCGACTTGCTTTTTATTTGCTTGTCACTGGCAGCATGGAATTAAAAAGCAGACTGAGTGGAGCTTACTGGGTCTTACAAATCTCCGAATCGAGATAAACACAGTTTAAGTCTTGAAAAAAAATCACACTGACCACACATCCTGGGAGTAAAAGTAGAATTGCTGTTCTACTTTTGCCATGGCTTGTATTACTGTGGGACCACCTACTAACAAGCCCAAATTAAACATTAAACACACACAAGCGTGCAGTTTCCCGTAAATTCATTGACCACGATTTAAATATAAACGTGACTATGATGCGACTTTGGTATTAATGATGTCACTGGGGTTTTTTGAACGTTTTCTTTTCTGCGCCGGCTTTTTTGAATCCTGACCTGCAGATGTCAAAATACATCATGTATTTTTCTCCTGATGCATACAACCTTTTATAATGACTCACGGTGTTATTCTACACCCAAAACCACAAGCTTTCAGGGCTGAGCTATTTTCACACTGCAGGGTTTGGGGATTTGAACCCACATCCCTCCACTGTCCTCTCCAGGCAAACCTCAACATTCCCCCCTCAAAGAAAACATTGTCTCAGCAATGTAATAACTTTTTGTGTATTTAAAGAACAAATATGAAGTAAAAGACCATAACTCAAAGAAAAAGGAGATATACAGTAAGAGTTTTTAGATTCCTGGGTCACCCAGTTCTTTCACTCTTAACCTGTACACACAGTTTTAAAGTTCTTGTACCCCACCAGATGAAAAAAAAAATGTCTTATTTGACAACCTAACCTAACCACAAAGCTTCAAGGCCACACCACAGCAGAGCTGATTATAGATATACATGTATATGCAGAAGGCAGGAGGMTGGGGACCAGTGAGCATCAGAATTGTTTTCTGCGATTAAACAACAAAATATCTGGTAGTAAATCAGAACAAGTGATCTCAGCAAAGAATTTCTGCCTTTTGGCGACAAGCCAGTGTGGAAAAAGGAACCATAGAAGAAGAATGAACTTTAAACAGCATGCATCACTGGCAAAATCAGGAATTGGCTGATATGAAATCCTTTTGTGGTGTTCTGACAAACGTGGCACCTATAAAAGGCAGCGTAAGAACAATTGTTTGAAGCTCAGCTAAAGCATACACGATCCCACGCTGTGCAAACCGCCACCCTGAGACAGTTCAACACATAAAAACAGAAAGCCGAAATGAAAAATAACATTGAGGGTTTATGGTGATTGAAAAAGATCCTGAGATCCTGCAAGACCGCTGGATCCTGACTGACAAACAGGGTGATTATTGTCCTGGAAAAATAAATTATCCTTTAAAGCAGAGGTGCCCAAATTGGGGCCCGCGGGCCAAAATTGGCCCGCCAAGCCATTTGGTTTGGCCCATCAGCAGTTGTCCTGGTTACCAGATTGTAATTATGTTCAGATTAAATATAAAACACAAGTAATTACAAGAGACATTTAGATTAGATTTAATCCCATTTATAGATTTGCACACCTTTCAAAACCACATATACTCAAATTTTAAATTATGAAAAGGCCCATGAGCCTTTGCTGCCTGAGAATACGTTGAATTTTCTCCATTACATGTCCATGGGCTGAAAAACAAAAACTAAAGAATGTGGGCAACCACACCGGCTGCTAGCTAAATCATAAAAACTAAAACAACTTTACTTAAGTATTTGCATTTCTTATTTTATTGCATTCGGCCCGTGGCCCWCAGATTGATTTTAATTTTGGCCCTTTCAGGGAAAATGTTTTTTTAATTTTGGCCCTCTCAGGGAAAATGTTTGGGCACCCCTGCTTTAAAGTCTTACATTTCATCTCAGGCCAAGAGTCAGTGACCTCTTTTGCTTACCTTAAAATGTCATCAGGTTTTATGATTTTACTCTTTATCTTCTGTTTTCTCTCGGACAAAGTGTTTGAAGATCGGGACAGTATCTATTTATCAAACATCATTCTCTCCTTGGCCCAGTTTCTGCAACAAGATTGTCTGTTTGGATAACATACTGTATAAATGTGTGTATTTGAAACTGCCTCAGGGCACACATTTCATGTACCACTGCCCTGTGTGACATGGTGTGTGTCTTGCAATTGCAATAAATCCTGATCATGGAGTACTTTTTRTTCTTTGATCTCATGTTTCTGTCTAGGTAAAATAAAGATTTCCACAACAATTATCCAATGAATCATCATGGTGGTCAACAAGTTATATAGAAGAAAAACTAAAAAGCCTAATTGTCAGTAAATAGTACAATCACATCAGAGAGATAATTATCTTGTTTAGTCTGGATTTTATTATATAATTAAAGAGATATGTTCTACCTTTCAAAAATGATTAGAAAACAGCCACTGCATGCAGAATGAGTGACACACCGTACACARCTGCAGCTTCTCATACAGCATCATAAACTGATCAAGTGAGTTATCCTTGAAGCAGCACCAGAAGCATTTGGTAAAGTCCCTGTCAAACACTCCTGATGGACTTGTTAGTCCAGATCCTGAGACAAAATCCTTTCTGATTTCCAACCAGCAAAATGTGTAAATAAAACGCAGCGCTGCAACTTGAATGCATGAAGTCATTTTTTTATTTTACTGTGAATTGAAATATTAATACCCTTTTTTATTTAATTCATTTTTAAAGAAACCAATTTTCATCAATCAAACTTAATAGACATAAAGCTACGTATAAATGAAAACTAACTGCTTTGTTTTAAACTGAGAGCTGCTGTTTACTTGAAACAAGTTAGCATAATGGCTGCCAAACTAGCAACATCTATTACCTAAATTGGCCCAAATGATGAAAATGAGGACAGCAGCTGTTACTACCCATGAGAGGTACAGATTTAAAGTCACACTGGGGGAAACTAAACAGCTCTCAAACAGACCCATGAGAGGTATGCACAAGTTTATCCTTGACAAGATTAGGTTTTGACAACTATAAAACACCATGCCACATTCTAAATTAAACTAAATATGTGAGACGATGTTTGCGCAGTTATGTTAATTTGACAAAAAATAAAAAATTAAATGAAAAAAAAAAAAACCAGAAAAGAACCAACTGAGATCTGAAAAACACAGATGATAGTTTTGTCACTAATCTGATTTAATTGATGCTGCTTATAGTGAAGGGCAAGAGAAAGGACATAACATTGTGTTTGCTTTATCACACACATCCCACTGAAGGGATTAACATGTAGCCAGAAGAAGGAAGATGAACTGAGAAGTTCAGTGTTTTTATTTAATCCAGCAGGAAGACTGCAGTCAGAGACCATTATGTGCTGCAAACCATTTAATGTCTGATGTGAATGGAAACGTTAACATTTTATTATAATGTCTTTACCCTGATTATCCATTAAAGCATATTTAAATATTGGTTTTCTATGAATTTATTACATTGTATAATCATTAAGTGATTAATTATGGTAATTATTTATCATTACTTCATCGGAAGCTTCTTCAGGCTCAGTTTCTTTAAAAACAAACTTTCATTAAAACGTTAATTTCAGTTAAATTCATTTAAACGTTAAGGAAATAAATCCTGCTCCATCCCAACAGCCAGTGGTGCACACACTGACTGCTGTGCGACGCACTCCACCACAGGGGTGTTCTGCAAACACAGATTAATGTCTCAGCCAGGTTTGTTGAACTTGAAGTCACAGTTTTCAGAGTCAAAAAAATCCTCTGTCTTTAATCCAAGTTTCATCACCCACCAACATGCACTCAGCACACACACTGGTCTTGAGCAGTTCGTGTTCAGTTTCAGATTAAATCATCTTTCACTAGTTTGTTTTCTTGATGAAGTTCCAAACAGCCAAATATAAATGAACAAACATCTAAATGTTTGACAATGAATTTAAAAAATGGATCAACAAATGATAAATCAAAGAATAGATATGGCATAACAGACATTTTAATTACTAAAAGGAATATGTTGTTAATATTTTTTATTCTAAAATATTTTTTTTGTGTGCTGTGTTTGACAGTTTTACTACTTGTAGGGAGAACAGATGAAAACAGCCTTTTGGCTAACTCGAATTCATTTACAGTAATGTGTCTTAATGTGTAAATGTTATTTGTTAAAAGTTACGCAAGCCGGAGCAAATCATTTTCTGTGAAGCCTTTGAATAGATTTTGGCATCTCGTTTWTTCACTTAACGTTCATTCATCACAAAAAGCTGTTTATACTTTGGAGATGTTTTAAAGTTATCATCTAACTTCTTAAAGCTCTTCCGAAGTATTATGTGTCATATTTCTCAAAATGTTGAACTGAAAAWAAAGGTTCAGTTTGCTGTATGACACTACAAATCACTTGACGCTTGAAAAGATTTACATCAAATTGGTAAGATAAGCAACAGATTCTCCTAAAAAAAAATGATGTTTGACTGATTTCTCTGTTCTGCGTTTTGATCTTTGGACTCTTCACACTTTGAGAGAAAAAAACTCCGTGTTGTAACACATTCCCTGTCAAAACAGGATGTTTTTCAACCCCCGCAGTTCTTTGTGGTAGATATTGTTTCTTTTTAATATGGTTTTAGATTTATGTTAGTTAGTTAACGTTTATCAAAACCATAAAAAGTTGGGCAATAACACACAAGGAATGTGACGAGAGGGAATAGTCAACAATAGTTTTTTTGTGTTCTGAGCCTGGTATGTTTTTAATTTTGAGTTTCATTTGCAAGGGGTAGCGTCTGGACGGTCAGAAAATTTAGGGCGACCGCACTGTTACTGGGGTCGACAGGAAAAATATTTTTGAGTGGCTTGGCTAAAGAATTGGAATTCAAAACAATCCAGGGAGAATAATACAGCAACCACAAAGGCAGAGATTACTGTATTATTATCGTAATGGTTCTGATGGAAAATGGACACCAACTTTCACAAAATTGGTGCCCAAGCATCCAAGAATCAGCTTTGTCTTCAATCCCAGCTTCGGAAAAGCCTTCAATGGACAATACAAGCAAATATTTTTATTTTTTTATTTTTATTTTTTACTGTCACTGTTGGTCCACACTGAACTGCTAACAGGGACTGTGCCAGAGAGGCTGGGGTAGCTAGTGCCACCCCTGGTAGCTGATTGGCCACCTCAGGTGCCACCCCCTAATAATTACCAAGAGGATGAGGATCTTGGATTTTGTTTTTGCATTTAGATTCTGTTAAAGATTGTTCTCTGATACTAYTGCACWGCATAAATTTTCAGCAGTAAGTTCAAAAATGGCTGAACTATAGCTCTTTAAGCGTGTACAGAAAATGGATGGATRGATAGTGTAGTTCTTGGCTTAATTTGTGGTTAGCATTGGCCCAGAATGCAATCATTTTAGTTACCCCATAACAAATTCCATCTTAATAATTTTTAAATGGGCTTWATTATGCCATTTAAAGTTAGCTATAGTCATCTTGAATTTTTAGCAGAGTTAGAATTTGGTAAAAATTCTTTTTGGCTCCTTCACCAATATTTCTTAAAACAACTTAAATAAAACCACTTGAATGCAGCTGTGGTCGACATTTATTTCTTTTTAAACCAAGGGTGCTTTCTTTTATTTGTTTGTGCTCCCTTAAAAAAAGGCACCTTGGCTACCCCTGTGCTGCCCCTTGCAATAAAGTCTAACTCTGCCCCTGACTGCTAAGCAACTACTCAAAATTACTTTTTGATTTGAACACATTAAAATTTTAAACCTTTTTTTCCAACTAGACAGTTACAGATAGTAAGAGCTATAACAGCTACTCTACAATTTCAAATTCCTAGAATCAGCAGAAATAGAAGGTGCTGACCCCAGTCAAGAAAACAAAACAGTCTTTGGAGACTTTTGTTATCATCTGGCCCTAATGATTAAGCAGTTTGCATGACATTTTTAACAAATAAGAACTTTGGTTTCTCCTCTCTCACTTCCTCTTTGCCTCTGTCTGATGCCACCCCCTGGCTTGTAGAATGAATTTAAAATCTGCAGCTRACAGCCTCTGTTCTGGGAACCCCTTGGGGTGGGATTTAGTGCGCTCTCTTTGGAAACTCTTGAGCTAGAACTCACTGAAGAACTTCCTCGGTGGCTCAGCCTGTCAGGATCCGTCTTTTGGATTATTTTTGATAGCTTGTTGTATTTGTTATTTTTAGATTTTAAAATCATGCATTTAAAGTATTCACAAAATGTCTGGAGTTTTTATGCTCGTGTAGGTCTCCAAAAATCAGATTTATTTAACTTCAGCAGAAAAAAAAAACAACCTTTTTTTAAAGTTGTAATAATTCTCAAAATGTTAACAGTATGCATGCTGCAGCAGAAAGTTTGCAAAGCAAATATTTTTTCATCACTTACCTGGAATTTTGGCCTTTGACTTGATGTTTCTCTCACACTTCTGCTTGGCTCTGAACAGCAGGCCTATCTGCTCCTCTTTTGTCAAGACGTCATCTGCATAGACCTGCAAAAAAACAAACAAAAAATACAAACATGTATATATATGTATATATATATATTAATAAAAGTTATAAGATGTTGTGCTTTGCTACATGAATACAGACAAAAGCCCAATACCAACTGACACATTGTTTACAACATTAATGAGTAATACAACATGTAGGAAACTCCCTGGTTCTTCAGCAAAGTTTTTTCCCCTAAACTTTACTAGGAAAAAAATAAATAAAATAAATAATTGCATTGTTTTGGTGATACCCATGCTTTTCCCCCCACTGTTGTTTGAATGCTCTGTAACTGCTCTTTGCAGCCCTGCTCTCAGTGCTATGAACTGGACAATAACATTTTCCTCCCTCAGGGACATATAACCTGAAAGAAACACTAGTGACATTTCATCAAAAGGAATTTGAATGTGAGCAACATGGTGGCCAGGAATGTTAAACAGCATTTTTTGGTATCTGGAAGGTCAGACTGCAGCAAACCGCATCCGTGGATTTGTCAAAAAGCATTTATGAGCTAAGCAGTGTTTTTATTTCTGTCTTCGCAGCTGTATGGCAAAGGTTTAAAGGAAAGAGAAGTGACTTTTTTATTATCTGAAGATGTTTTTGGTTTTTGGTGGGACAGCAAAGCAGTGAATAGCGCTGTCGCCTCACAGCTGGAAAATCGCAGATTTGCCTCCAACCTTTTCTGTGTGGCATGTTCTGCCCATGCTCGAGTGGTTTTACTTCAGATATCCCGGTTTTCTCCTACTGACCAAAAACAAGAATGTTAGTTTATATGATGACATTAAATTGTCACTACATGTGAGGGAGAATGATTTTGTTTTTTAAATTTGGTTTAAAACAAAGGCACAGATAAGAGTTTTGCCTGCTTATCATTGTTTTTAACTAAACTTTAAGCTTTAGGCTAAACTGAGGCAGCACAAGCATGCACAGTGGATCTGAATGCCCTGTTTCTTCATATTTTAGAGGAGCTGACCCTAGAGGGCAGCCCACCTTATTTGATTTGTGTAATGAGGCAGAAATGCACAAGGTAAAGCAAAAACAGGAGACAAAAACAAAACAAAAAACAAAACAAAACATGGAAATAAAAACTTTGTGGGAAAAAAAACAATAAAAATAATAAAACTATTTAAGCGACACAAACACATCTACATGCAAAAAGCAGACAACCAAAATTCATCTTTTTAAAAACAGTCAAATTTTTATTATGTGCTAAAATATATCATTTGTCATWACTAGGCTAGAAAAAAATGTGAATATCAATTAAGTTATAAAACACGAGGGACAGATCTCCTTGTTAAAAATAATTGGTGCATTTTAAGAGTATTTATGTATTGGGCCATTTATATATTTCTGCTTTTATCTTAACTTTTGCCAGTTTTGGTTCTCCATAATTTGTGTATTTTATTTGATGCGACAAATTAAACTGGCTCCCATTTTCATTAAACAACAAAATGGAAAATGATTTGATAGGAAGTAGCCCATTAACACCTCGAAGCGAGGATGAGAGACTGATCAGAAACACTAAAACATAACTAACATGTCTTCGCCGCAACCTTTTCCAGCTCAAATAAAAGTTAAAAAAGAACAATATATGTCAACAAACTAGTTGTACACAAAACACTGAAGAAAATATATAATGTTGATGATGTCATAAAGTGTGCATGCCTCTAAAAAGCCACTGTCAGTGCATTGCATTTAAAGAAACAATAATTTGCAAACATTTATTGTGCTTAATGTTGCCTCTCACCATAAAAAAAATGCAAACTGGTTTCTTATGCAGATGTAAAATGTGCTCCACATTAAAAAGTTGGAATATTGTTCTTGTTTCATGTGTGAGAGAAAAAAACTTAACATTTATATGATTACAGATGATGCTGGTTGTGTAAGSACRTGTGCAGAATGACCCAGGGCGCAGGCGAAAATCCAAAAAGKTAACAAAATTTGTATTAAACAAAAAGASTGGCAAGGCAGTTCAAAAACACTGACAAGATCTCAGGGTGGGAAAACAGCACACAGCACGAGGAACACAGAGACACCTCACTGGCTGCTAATGAACGGACAAACACTGAAGACAGGACACAGAATATAAAGGCAAACAAATTAAGGACAACAARAAACACCTGGAGGAGACACAAGAGCAAACAGGTGAGCGTGGGCGGGGCTGGAGGAATGACAGCAGGGGAGGGATACACAGAGGAACACAGAAACAMTAGAAAACCAAGGAAAATAAACACAGGTTGATTCACGCATTTTATTTTTTAAACAAATCTACAGCTCTCAAACAAATTTGGGAAACTACAATGTGCACAATTTTTCTTCATCATGTATGTAAAAGTGGAAATTGCTCAATATTTTAACACTGTCTAAAATGAATTTTGTCACAGTTGGTGACAAAAACCAACTACAGTTAACTTGGGATGTTTTTTCAAACTTCTAAATCGTCCAGGTTTGAGGGRGAAAGTATGTGCATTTATTGTCTTTCATGCAAGTGCACAATTTTGTCGGCTTAAAAATAAACGGCAAAATAGCAARCCGTTGTGGGTTTTCTCCATACAAACCCACAATACCTCAATCCATCAATATTTTCACTACTTTCAGCACAGAAATAAGGATGTCCAGTCTGAGAGCTGAATAGGGCTTCAGAATGAAGACGTTTATGGTTTTGCACAGTAAACAACCACAGATGGAACGACATTTCACCACAGGCGAACAAGGATAGGTACAACCTGTTTACTGTGCTAAGTCTGTCAGTATAGAATATTCCACTGACAGCTCCAGAGACATTAACACTATTTTCATCTAAATACCTGCCCAGTGTTAGTTTGGGTAAAAGTTCAACCAACAGGAACTTAAAAATGGCTTCCAAATATTGTGAATTTATTCARGAAACACAAATATCACTGTCATCGCAATCTCTTAAAAGTAAATACATTTATTTTTACAAGTTAGATKTTGGTTGGAAAGTCAACTAAAAGGAAATGTTAACCTTCACAGTTCAGCTCAAACCTCTTGTGAAATATTTAGGTGAATAAAAGTCTCATTTCCAAATTCTAGGGGAAAAAAATATCCTGGGTAATAAGTGTGCCCGGATTATTTCTGAAAACTATCCCTCCTTTTCTGGCCGGCGCCTAAACCTCTAAAGAGTAAACACACAACTCTCACAGAGAGAAACATGCATTCTCTTTTTAGAGCTTTTGATTCCAAACACAGTATTCTTTTTGTTGGCTGCTTTTGAGTGTGAGCCAAAATGAAAGAAAAAAAAGGAGAGAAATACACATTGCATATATCTGTGTGTTTCCATCACCGCTCACTAGAATACAAACTCTGCTGGAAGAAACCACAAGTTTTTGTTTGTCTTCACAAACTGCAGCTCGATGAATGAGAGCAGAGGAACATTTTTTCTAAMGTTATGCAGTCCGTCACATGAATAATTGTGGCTTATGTTGTAAATAAAGACATATATCTCACTTTAACTTGATTATCCTTAGTCCATATTTCTTGATTTTTAAATATCAAGTCACATCTACAATATATTTCAATAGAACATCAAAAATAATCCTGTGAACAGGCGTCATGCATATGCTGAGTGTAGACTCTGGGTTTATGGTACACGACTTGATGCCGTCATTGTGTTCAGACTTTTCTTCTCTTTCTTGTTTTTTTCTTCTTTTTTCAAAGCTGTGGTTAACCAAAGTAATTTCCTGAAACGCCGAGCTGTGAATCAGAGAGCTAAATACACTGTGAGATAGATTTTCATAGGAAACAATAGAAAATCTTGAAAGTTCAAAAAGACTACAAAGCCTGCAAAATTCTGGAGGTAATAATCGSCACTGACTCAAATGTGAAGTGGGAATGAAAGAGCTGAAACTGGAAATTAAACCTAATGTTTAATGTTTTCAGGAAATAGATCATCATAAGTTGATAAYGACTGAGTTACTAGTATTACTAAGCAATAAAATGTGGGTGGATCTCATTAGATGTATTGTTTTAATCTTATTTTCTGAATGGCCAAGCAATAAAACATCTGATTTTGTCTTAGATTCATTGTAAAATTTGCAAAAATWAAATAAACATTTTGTTCCTGCTTGTTACTTRTGCAGAAAATTAGGCCAGTAAAATAAGAAAACTTTGAAGTCTTATAAGTATTACTCATTTCAATTAAATGGATCACGGAATTGTGGCCTAAAACATGTTAGTTTAGTTAAAAAGGTTTAATAGCTAAGAATACAAAGGAGAGTCRTATGGTGGGTTTTGTGAAATAATGGTAGACTCAAGAATTAAACAAGACAATTGTCTTTTATAGTAATCTATTAAATGCTATAAATGTAACAAGTTCTACAAAATATTTGCAGAAGTCATGGCAAAAAGATTTAATTAAAAAAGATGTTTGTCTTTGTACCAATCACTGAAGAGAAGCCATAACATAAAATCTGTCAGTTTTTCAAAATAAAATGTCAAGTTATTTGCAAGTACTCTAACACCCTTTCCATCCATCCATAAAACTCCATTTCAGATTCACAGGGGTCATTAGTGCCCATATCCAGATTTCACAGTGCAAGGGAGTGTGTRMACCCTGKACAGGTCGCAAGTCCATCACAGGGCCACRTWGAGACAAACAACCATTTATTGTCTCACTCACACCTAGGGACAATTTAGTTACCAAYTAGCCTGACATTCATGTTTTTGGTCTGTGGGAGGAAACTGGAGTGATTTAGGCAGCCAGAACACATGTGCACWGGGAGAAAATAATCTATAGGTCCCGAGCCGGGATTTGATCAGGCAACCTTCTCTCTCGGATGCTAAACTGAGCCACTGCCATCCTACCCTTTTCATTCACAGTTGTGAAACATTTTATAACATTCARTCATAACGTTATATCATTTTCCAACCTCAGCAATGTTGTCTGTTTCCCAAAAATGACAAGTAAARGTCTTTCCATAGGCTATAGATCACTCTAAGAAAAGCCAAAACAGCAGCTGGCTTTTAGAAATCCTCTCCAACC